TAAATCTCATCTGGATCAACACCCATTTTAGTTTCCAAAGTTTTGAGCAGATATAAATGCGGACTAAAATCTTAGCAACTGAGAAAGCAAATATTCAGTACATACCTTCCATTTTGAACCGAACCACAGTATACAACCGAACTGAATTGCAAAGTCTATGGTATATCGACCACTCGCACAAACGTCTACGACCGCACCTACATAGTTTTGCATGTTTACAATTCTAATTTCGAACAGCCAATCAGGTTCTTGGTTCATAGAGCATTAACCTCTCTAATTTAACATCTACGACGCGGCCGGCTTAACGACGCGCTTGCGAAGGAAAGAAATCTGTCATGCAAGACAAAAACTGTGAATAAATTTGTCATGGTCCGAGGGGTATTCTCAACGGCTTTGTCATGCTCAACAGAACGTTAAACCTTCATTATCACGTCTTTCAAGCAACGCGAAGCTTATTGCGACTCAAAAGGTGATACTTAAAGTCGAAATTACAGCAAACATTGCATCGCTTTAGTCAAACTTAGCAGTTTGTATAATGTTATTTGAAAATCGTCAAACATTTATTACAGTAATGAAATTGCTTAGCATTCATTTTTTAGCTGAAATTCAGACCGCGTCGTTGAGCCGTCCGCGTCGTAGATCTTTAAGGCTGATTTCCACTGTTGCGTTTTTCATACGTGTACGCACGTAAAACTTTAAATCCGTTTAAATGTTACTTATATGAAATAACCAAATAAATAAAGCAACAGAATTTAGTGTTCCGCAAGTTTTAGTATGCATTTGTTCACTCATTTGTAAAATATTTAAAAAATAGAAGGATTCAAAGTTTTACGTGCGTGTATACGCGCGTACGAAAAACGCAACAGTGGAAATCAGCCTTTAAACTCTCTAACGCGAACTTTACCACGCGGACGTCGCATTAAGCAAGTTTTATTTTAAAACGATGCATGGCAAATACCATTAAAATATTTTTATCACAGTAAATAAAATGAAATTATACTGGAAAAATGTACAACATAACAGAGGCTATAGCAATATATTAAGAAGATATTTTTTATCATAAGTTTTTACGACTTCTATGACGACGAATCCGTGCAAATATCACGTCGTCTCGGATGGTAGTTTTGGCGGGAAAATGAGCATTCGTAACATGAATAGTCTATAAAGCCTGGTTTCTATCATTTCGTATGGCTGTTAACGTGTCATAACAGTGTCACAAATCTCGCAGAAATAAACTGTGACAACTCTGACTATAGGCTTACACTCGAAAACTAGGCTTAGGTAAGCACGTCCGCGTCACCAATTCGCGTTGTAGATCTTAAGCACCCAACACTTTAATATTTTGCGTTGTACCAGATGTACATAGATTTTTTCGTTGGTTAAATCGACTCAAAATTGTCCAAATATACAATATATTATCAAACTATAAGTATTAAGCTGTTATGAGGAGCGATTTGATACTTTTGGGAAAAATAATGGCAAAAAGAAATAAAGAAAAAATTATATGAAAAGTTATGAGTTTTACCTGGGAATGGTCCACGACTTTCGCTCATGATGGCCTCGGTCCTTACCACTATACCATGATGTCAACGATGGAAGCAGGTACCAAATTACAAGACGTCAATATTTTGCGTTGTGCCAGATGTATGTAGATTTTTTCGTTGGTTAAATCGATTCAAAATTGTCCAAATATACACTATATTATCAAAATATGACTATTAAGCTGTTATGAAGAGCGATTTGGTGACTACGGTAGCTAGAACACTTCCCAATGTATACAAATGTGAATTCCTGTTGTTTAATATATAAAGTTAATAGGTTAAAGAGATTTCGCAAAAGTTTTTATTTGCTATTTATTAAATTGTGAGACGTGAATAATTTTACCTGACCCACCCCTAATGCAGTGCATAAATTTTCCTGACCCACCCTTTTTGACGTGTTGAAAAATAGTGACCCACCCCCAATTTTTCATAGCCCCCCCCCTCTACTTTATGACCGGTCCCTTATACAAACAAACCAGCGAAGAATAACAAATTGATAAACGGAACGTACGTTTTAGGCTTTATCCTTTGTCCTTGTTTAACAAAATCGATTTAAAGGACACTGTCACCGCCTGGCATTCTACGTGTTTCTAACACTAAGTAATGATAAATTATTGTTAATATTTTTAAAATTCTTTGTGTGTTTTTTCCTTTTATTTCAAATAGAAGTATAGTTAGGATAAATTCTAGAAAATTTAGATGCTCAGACGGCAGGAAATGGCATTTTTTGCGCTTGAAATTTCAAAAATTTTCTGGGGAGTTAATGCCTCCAGACCCCTCTATTCATTCGCGGTATGTCGGCCACACACGTGACCCACGGCCATTGCTATCCCCCTTTAATAATAAGTAATGGATAAATTGTTAAAGGTTAAAGGTGATCTACAGTCCGTATGTAAACAAAGCCTTTGTTTACATTTTTGTGTCCAAAATATTGAGCTTTATTCGACAATTATTTATATAGATGCAGTTAGTGAGTTAGGTTTTGTACATGCTTACAGGGTTTTGAAAGCAAACCATGCCGTGAAATATGTGAAGCCTATGGTTTGTGTCATGTATGTATCTAGGTAGAATACCTAAAAGTAGATGTTGTACAAACTACAGAGTTGTGGTTTATAGAATCTGGCAGACCTCCACCGCCCCCTGTCTCTTATTTCCCCCTCGCCCCTCCATTCCCTCCGTTCCCCGTTCCCCCACTTCCCGTTCTCCCATTCCCCGTCCCCCCATTCCCCGTTCCCGTTAAAGTCGACACAATAGCATCTGAATTTGGCTTGTCAAGCAGTTTTCGCTTGTTTTCCGCGTTTTGTTCCCGTATCCTAGGATACGAGGCCTCGTCACGATTTATGAATAAGGTCTATATAGCCTCTGTTATGTTGTACATTTTTCCAGTATAATTTCATTTTATTTACTGTGATAAAAATATTTTAATGGTATTTGCCATGCATCGTTTTAAAATAAAACTTGTTTAATGCGACGTCCGCGTGGTAAAGTTCGCGTTAGAGAGTTTAAAGGCTGATTTCCACTGTTGCGTTTTTCGTACGCGCGTACACGCACGTAAAACTTTGAATCCTTCTATTTTTAAATATTTTACAAATGAGTGAACAAATGCATACTAAAACTTGCGGAACACTAAATTCTGTTGCTTTATTTATTTGGTTATTTCATATAAGTAACATTTAAACGGATTTAAAGTTTTACGTGCGTATACGTATGAAAAACGCAACAGTGGAAATCAGCCTTTTAAAAAGATCTACGACGCGGCCGGCTCAACGACGCGGTCTGAATTTCAGCTAAAAAATGAATGCTAAGCAATTTCATTACTGTAATAAATGTTTGACGATTTTCAAATAACATTATACAAACTGCTAAGTTTGACTAAAGCGATGCAATGTTTGCTGTAATTTCGACTTTAAGTATCACCTTTTGAGTCGCAATAAGCTTCGCGTTGCTTGAAAGACGTGATAATGAAGGTTTAACGTTCTGTTGAGCATGACAAAGCCGTTGAGAATACCCCTCGGACCATGACAAATTTATTCACAGTTTTTGTCTTGCATGACAGATTTCTTTCCTTCGCAAGCGCGTCGTTGAGCCGGCCGCGTCGTAGATGTTAAATTAGAGAGGTTAATGCTCTAAGAACCAAGAACCTGATTGGCTGTTCGAAATTAGAATTGTAAACATGCAAAACTATGTAGGTGCGGTCGTAGACGTTTGTGCGAGTGGCCGATATACCATAGACTTTGCAATTCAGTTCGGTTGTTGTCTCCTATACTGCATGTGGTTCGGTTCAACATGGAAGGTATGTACTGAATATTTGCTTTCTTTGCTAAGATTTTAGTCCGCATTTATATCTGCTCAAAACTTTGGAAACTAAAATGGGTGTTGATCCAGATGAGATTTATGGGGAAAATAAAGTGTATAAGCAAGCTGTCGGGAAGATTGCTTTGTTGTTTTTCGTTGATCTTTATCCGTTACTTAATAAATCTCGCCCTACAATTAAAAGTAGTTGCAGATTGAGACTCTGTAAATAAAGGACAAATCTGGGCAGATCATTAATGAAGTATGGACTAATAGCGGCTGCTCAAGCGCCATTTGTAAGCGCAAAGTCTACCTCGGTCTGCTTCACGTCATGCAGTCCGGTTTTATCTATCTATTCATAATGTAACCAGTCACTGAAAAGCCCTGATAGGGAGTGTGCTGTGAAATATCTGTTATTAATATCACTATACCTACGCTAGTACAGACACTTCAAAATTTTGTTATGTAGTTGCACATTTGATTTTGATAGAGTTTTATATTAAAGACAGCGCTGAAATTTCAACCCGGTCAACAGAGTTGAGTTCAACTCTGGGATTGAGTTCCACTCCCGGGTTGAGGTCAACTGCCTTAGTCCATGCCCACAGAAGAGATGAAAATATTCAACATGGTGCTTGCTGAAAGCTGATAATGCTTGATGCAGTGTGTGGTACATGGGATGGTTGTTCTCTTGCCAATATATGAAATGAGAGAGAACCACTAACATTGCCTTGTCATGATGACAATGCCAGAAGTCAATGTCTAATTTGAAAGTCAAGGCTGTTGAATTTCTCACCTGTTGACTGACAATCTGGTGCTTGAAAAAATATGATTTTTTTAATATACTGACAGCCTGTAAAATTGTATATGAATCATAAGTATGAAATATATATGTTTATTTGTACCTTCAATTTCCATTGACACAGCAAATGTGATAAAATCAAATGCACTGATCTAAAAATCAGTGATCGAATGCAGTCGTGACAGTCCTTTGCGGTGTCACATTTTTCGAGGCTGTGGGCACTCTTTCCACCTAGCTTGAGTGTAACCTACCAGACATTTAGCACCCTTGATCTTGCTTCTGGTTACCACCAGCTAACCCTAGCCCAAGAAAGTCGTCACATCACCACTTTTAGCGCCCAAGTTGGGCTATGTCGATACAAGCGCCTGATGTTTGGTATCAACGCTCAATCCAAGATAGTCCAGAACGCCATCGCTGAACTGCTTGCTGGACTACCTGGATGCAAGAATATCTCTGATGATATTATTGTGTGCGGAAAAGCTGTCCTTCAACGCCTCTCAAATTACAACGTGCGCTTAAACAAGGACAAATGGCACTTTTCTCAGTCCCAAGTGTGTTTCTATGGTCATATCTTCAGCGCCAAAGGAGTCCAAGCCGATCCTGCGAAAATCGACTCCATCCAACAAGCCCGCGTTCCTGAAAACGTCAGCGAAGTTAAGTCTCTGCCGCTTGGTTTGTCCCAATACATCTCTCGATTCATTCCGACTACTCTACTATCACTGCTCCACTACCTGCCCTCACTCGAACTGACGCCGAGTGGAAATGGACGACCGACGAACAAACGTCCCTTAACAACCTGAAAGCAGCGCTAACGGGACGGAACGTAATGTCCTACTTTGATCAAAACAAGCCAACTGAAATCATTGTTGATGCCAGACCTGTCGGTCTCGCTGCCCTTCTCGTTCAAGCTGGAAAAGTCATTAGCTAGGCCAGTCGCTCTTTATCTGACGTCGAAAGTCGTTACTCGCAGACGGAACGCGAAATGTTAGCTGTTGTTTGGGGAGTTGAACACTTTCATCTTTACGTCTACGGCTCACATTTTCAGATCATGACGGATCATAATCCTCTTTTCGGCATTTTCAAGACCCAGAAACCTGCAACACCGCGCATGGATCGATGGAAACTCCGCCTCGTGCCTTATAATTGCAAGTTACAATATCGCTCTGGGAAAGACAACCCAGCTGACTTCATGAGCCGCCTTCCCAAACCAGTAAATTTCAAAAACAAAACTGAGAACTTAGCTGAACTTTACGCCAATTATGTTTGCTCGAATGCCATTCTCAAAGCCATGACTCGTGAAGAAGTCAAACTTGAAACCAAGCTGGCCCTCTCCTCCAAAATGTACCCACCGCGATTTCCCTCAACAAGTGGACCGATCGAAGTGTCGAACGCTACCGCCGTTTCCAAGACGAATTGATGGTCTGTGGCGAAGTTATCCTCCGTGGAAACCGTATTGTTCTCCCACACTCCTGCACAATCGAGCCATCGAGTTTATAGTCCACCTTGGCCATCAAGGCATTGTTAAAACAAAGCAACTCCTACGCGAAAAAGTCTGGTTTTCAGACATTGACAAAATGGTTGAAGCCAACGTCAAGATGTGTTTGGCCTGTTAAGCAAGCTTCTACCCGAGGAACGTCTTCACCTCCAGAACCACTGAAATTCTCCCCGCTCCCAGAGAAAGCTTGGACCAATGTAGCAGTTGATTTCGTTGGACCATTTCCCACAGGCGAATATCTGGTAGTCGTGATTGATGAATACAGTCACAGAGGAAGTACATACAGAGATCTCACTTCAGGTTAATTTCGCGTAAGGGATTTTTTGATATTTTTTCAGTCCGCCATGTTCTTAGCAAGTGCCCTAAAGAGAGGCAGTCACCCCCATGGAAACATATTGAAAATTTAATATTCCAGGGGGGTGAATGCCTCTCTTTAGGGCACTTGCTAAGAACATGGCCGCCAGCTATTTCGGTAAAAAGCGCCTTAATTACGGTTTTGTAATGGAAGTTGCACTTCTGTATGTCTTTATTCTGTGATACAGTCAATATCGGGAAGTCGCAATTCTCACCACAACATCCACAAAAGCCGCAATTCCAAAGCTTGATGCCATATTTTCCAGACAAGGCATCCCTGAGATTCTCAAGTCAGATAATGGCCCTACATTTAATGGTGAAGACTGGTCTGAGAACTTTGCCAACTACCTCGGTTTTAAGCACCGTAAGATAACCCCATACTGGGTTACGACAACCGAAATTGAAGCTGAACTCGATATCACCGCATGAAACAGGCTCAGAACAGTAACGCGCAATTCCTCCTTCTTTACGAAAATACCCCATGTTTCGCTGTTTCGTGGTTTAGTAATGTCCAAACAAACAAAACAATTTTAATGCAAATTAAGAATTAACTGTTTAATACAGTCAAAATACAGCCAACCTTCCCGCTTCTGGTTTGTTTTGTTTGGTATTTCTGTAATTTGTTCTATTTTTTCTGTAGTAATTTAATATCGCTTTATCGGTTAATATCGCGGTAGAATTTCCATTTCTTTTCTTTATATACGTCAATTTGTAGCAAAGGATACACCTTTCGTTAGACTTTTTGCATAAAAGTTGCGAAATTAGGCTTATAGCGATATTTGCTGATAAGGGCAAAAAGGGTTTCTTGCAGTATTAAAATTGCTGGAGCAAAGGTCGGCATTATTATGCAATGAGAATTTGTAAATATATCGAGTCTACTACAAATCTTTTTTAGTTATATTATGAAGTAAATATAAAACATTTATTATGTGTAACTCATACAGTTATAGAAACACTTGTAGTAGTTTGGGAGAACTCGAATAAGGTGGAAAAACTCACCCTAATCCTATACTAATAGGTCTCGTTTTTCTACACATCATATCCAGGCATTATGCTATGTTTGTAGTAATAAGGCTTTTCAAAAAGCAATTGAAATTTTTAATAACCGCAAACCTGTAGACGCTTAGAAATGCCAAGGTTGTATGTGATAAACCCTTTTTTCTTATTATAAATGTCACTCGCCCAGGTTTCGAAGAAGCAGCGCAAATTATTAAGTACGGCTCATGAAAAGCACGCCTGTTTAAATCAAAATTGGAAGTACGCCTATTTTACTCGAGTAAAATATAATTAAGTTCGGCTCATGAAAAGCACGGCGTCTAAACCCGGACCTTAGGAATTCGATTTTAAATGCTGTCTGTCAGGACACTTCAGTTACATATCTGATGGTTGTGAAAATAATGTACGACAGTTTCTCAAAAACGAAGCAGTGACATACTTCCTTTACGATTTCATGCTGTTCTGTAACAAGTCCTCACTTCCACAGCAAACAAATGCCTTATTCTTTATTGTTGACAGGATACAACCAAAACATACAAGAACCCCGCCCGTATTTTTACCCACAAATACCCAACCCAAACCCAACCCACCCACCCCACCTACCCTACCCACCCCAACAACCCCACCTACCCTACCCACCCCAACAACCCCACCCACTTTACCCACCCCAACAACCCCACCCACTTTACCCACCCCAACAACCCCACCCACTTTACCCACCCCAACAACCCCACCCACACCACCAACGCCAAATCCACGGTCTACCCCGACCCCCTTGTAACCACCCTCCCCACCCCCCACCACTCCGTGGCGAAAGACGAGAAGGTGGGTAATAACGGAATATTTGGTTTATAAAGAACATGTATGAATGAGCATATTTAGGGAGTGTTCATTATTTATACCCGGGGTTGGTACCGAAGAGAAACTAATCGAAAAGAGAAAAAAACAATCACCCACCCTTTCGGTCAACCATTTTTTCCCTTACCCAACTATTGCATGACTTGGATTTTTATTTTTACCCAACCCAATTTCAAAATTATACAAGTATTTTACACAAGCTAGGCCACTATAGTATAAACAGTACTATGCATATTTGGTGCACTAACTGAATGTCAAGTATAATCATTTGTACCTTCACAAGTTCATATTATATTCCCAAGCCTCCAAGTTCCTGCAGTCCTACTATGTCTCGTTGTTGTAATCAGGGGATGCCCCATCCCAGTTAGAGTTTAGTTTTTTTGTGGGAAATGAATGGATATTTCCTAGAATGACCCATTTCGTTAAATAAAGGATTTTCATATTTTGTTCAATTGAAGGTTTGTATTGAAAATAATTTACCCAACGATAGACTTTGTTCAAAAAATATTTACCCAACCCTTCATACCCCAGAAAAATGGCTTACCCAACCCATTTCTTCGGTACCAACCCCGGGTATAAATAATGAATACTCTCTTAGATGTTTCTACCTTGTAAATTTCATATAAATATAATGTTTGTGATGTTACTCTGAGTGTTATCCACACCGGGCAAGCTTGAAAATATGCTAGGCCACGATGGGAATCGAACATACGACCTTTGGAATGCTAGCCCAATGCACTGCTTACTGAGCTACGCGGTCAGGTTGTTTCCGGGTATGTGATATTTTGGATATTTATTTCCCACACAACTGAAATAATATAAATGGTGTCAGGTGGATATAACATTGAATGGGAACAAAGACAAAAAAATTAAACTATATAATAAAGCGGGAATGAAACCAATGCTAACGCATTCGCCATTGACGCATGCTAGGTATTAAATAAAAAATTTATGATGTATCTGCATATTCTCTAATAGTGCTATACAATAGCGGTTTACAATTACATTTACAGAAAACAAACGACAATTACTGACAGTTCCGCCTACGTAAAAGATTGAAGACTAATTATATATTGTGCACAATTTAAGGCGGTCTATTATGGTCTCACTAAGACAAAGATGGACGAGTTGAGCTTATTTTAGATAATTTAACATTCAATTTTAATTCCCTTTTGGGATTTGTTTATTGTTCGTTTTCCATGCAATCCCCAACGGTGGAAGAATGTGATTTTGACCGGCAATTTTTATTTGGCGAGTATATGGCCATTTCGTTACGATTTTAAAAAGAGTATCATCGAAAAGCTAAATAACTGTTCTTTCATTCTATGTAAAAATTGAATTGTTTAGCCACGTTTATGATGCACGACAGCCTGTTGAATTCCCATGGCGTTTTTTAGACACCCTGTATATATGTTGATCGTATATCTATAGTGTCATAATTTTGAAAGAAAGTATTCTCTTTGTAATCGGAATTATACGTAATAATTTTCGCATATATAATGATAGTAAATTTTTTATATTCCTGAGTATTCCTAACTTTTTGTTGATTTTACAACAGCAACTTTATGTTACATGTATTTAATTGTTACTTCCTACCTAATTGTTACTTCTTTCTTTCCAGATCTGACGTCATCTGCTCCAGGCAGCGCGTAAGTTTTCCTTTCTTTGGCGATAATATTTTGCAGAATTGATAATACTTAATTTTTTTAGTGTGTTGTACAACAATGTTTTCATATACTACAATGAATAACTACAATACATATCATGTCAAATCCATTGATATTTGACTGGTCCGTATCATAAACCATCCAATTTATTTCACTTAAGGTGACGTTACCAATATTCATATTTAAAAAAATCATTAATAGTTCATAAAGCAAATTCAAAAGAAATGAATGTTTAATCAATGTTTGTAAATCGGCTAAAGATTTGTTCTGATTTACATATAAACTTCATCTTAAACAATGTTTATTTTTAAAATTACTTCGCCAATGAACTCATAAGATGGGTCGTTTTTTAAGTATGTTACTCGGCTCGAGTTTGTATATCAGATAAAGATCGGCTGTTCATGTTTTAACTTTGTACTTATACAATTTAAGGAAATTAGGTTAAATTGATGACTTGAGCACAATCACGGATGTGAAAATTTTCCACTCATTTCAGATGACTTTTTTAGTCACGATGTATACTGATAATTAATACTATGCAAGAAACAACTCGTTTCTTGCCGTTGTTCTGCGTTATTTTAACAGATATAACAAATTTTGAACTTTTAACAAATTCATCACAAGCTTTATTTATCAGCGACCGAACAAGACCGAACTATGCGAACGTTAGCCTGCGAACAGGCTCTTGAATAGAGAGCATGTTCGCAGGCTATGCCAACGTCAATACTTGCATGCGTTTTTTGAAAAATAAACAGAGAGATGACGCATTAAGTTTTCTCTTCCCAGGAAAGATCATAGAGATTATAAATAACACTAGAGGAGGCATCGAGTTTAAAAATTGGGAACGCAGCTAATGGGGTGCAAATTCAAGTCCCGGATATAAAATTGTGCTCTCATTGGCTGATTTGAAACTCGTCACCAATGGGAACACGAATACACATCCGGGACTTGAATTTGCCCCCCCAATAGTC